CCCCGATTCCTTAGAGGACCTTAGAAGAACTGATGTCTGGGCCACAGCATGCGCCAGATTAATCACCGAGAGCAAAAGCGGGACAGATCCTTTTATTTGTAGTGTTTTGAATGTCTGGACTACAATGAGAGATTGGTCGGGACGAACTAACATGGAATGGTACCTGATGAAAATTCTTGAGGATGGAGCCTTTTTATTGGAGAAAGCCGAGGACCAGGCTGGTACGCGTATACATGTTGAACCACGGAATGCCAAGGATTCCATAGCTGCGGATGAGTTTTATGATGCGGCGATTCATGGACTTTTCGACATCATTGATGACCCAAGTGCAGGAGGTATTCCGGAAGGCTTAATCGAACTTGGCAATGCCATTCTTCGAAAACTCGATCCCAAAAGACATGGACCTACCAGGAGATTCTTGGTTTCAAAATGGCTGTTTTCTGTTTTCTTATTGAACGCAATAATTCATCCAGAAGTATGTTCAAGGCACCCTTCAAGTGGTCAATTTACTGACATGCATAGTCATATGGAATGATGTCAGAATATCACATTACAGAGTATGGTAGGCAGAAAATATTGAAAGAGGTTGCGATGCGTGCACAGCGCCTAGTTGTTGATATGACCTGGTATTGCCATTCTCGTATCCATCTAGTTCCATCTTATTAACGCCTTTTATAGGAACAAATCCTCTCCAGCACCAGCAATCAAAACTCACATAGAGAATATCCTAGCACGCTTCCGTTCCACGAAACCATCAAAGTCCATTGCTAAGCTTCTTCCCGCAAGATCTATAACCTCATTAAGGGAGACAGCAGAGGTACACCCTTATCTTGTCCTAGCACCCGCCGATCTATTGACTATGGTAAATGCACTATTCCCGGAAAGACGGCCCGCATCGAGTTTCTCCACGAAAGATTCCCATCTCAGTGGCTTGCGATCTGCGGCTTCTTCTGTCTCTGGAATGTCTGCTATATCAGTGCTGGTACCGCAGCCACCTACTCGTGAAGCTTTAGACGGCGCTTCTATCATGAGCAATAGTGGCTCTTCTACGATAAGTGATGTCACCACATCCAGAGAACCTCTGCTCAATGAGACATTAAGCACACAGCAACGAACATCTTCTATATCAATAGCATCCAATCGCCAAAACCAACGACTTAGTTATTATGAAGATGATGGTTTTGAACTTCGAGAAGCCCTACATGAAATGTCGCGTGCTTTAGGTAGCGATACGACCTCTGGTGCATGCCATCCTTGTGCAGAACGATGGACTGTTTTATTCATGACACCAGACGGACAAGGACTGTCAACCCAGATGATTCACGACGATGATGGAGATGAAGAGGAAGGCACCTCAAGCAGCGATACGGATGAGGATAGCAATGGGTTCCGTTCAGATCTTGACAAAGACTATCACCAGCTCAGAAGTTCGATTTTAAAACTTGTGGAAGATTATGAGATTCCCGAATCACTTGATTCAAGACTTGAATCAAAAACTTTCAGCAATCGCACGTCAATTCTCGAGACTCCTCGCAGGAAGTTTAGCAACAAGTCCAAGTCACTGGCTCAAATACAGTCGAGGAATCCGTATCGAGCCCGAGATCAGTCCCCCAGAACTGACAAATCTTCCAGAGGGACTGATACCAGACATACAAAACAGAGAGCCGAGGCAGAGGCAGAGGCCCCTTCCGTTCTCATTTCTATGCTAGAGGCTGCTGAAACTCAATGCAAGGCGCAGTCTGATTTTATTAATGCTCATCTTTACTGGAAAACCTTGAGACAGCTAAATCAAATGTCATCTGCCTCATTGAAGAGGGATGGATTTGCATCTCTCTTAACTATCTTATCAAGAGGGCCTAGGGATTCCATCCGGTGCTCCACCAGCGCCATCGAAGAATACGAAGCCTGGTTGGTTTGGCTCAAGCAGTCCCAGGAGCGCCATGACGTAACAATCGAATCCATGATGAAACGTTTGAAAGCCCTCCGCGATAAAATGTGGTATGTCACCGATGTTCGAAACTCAGCAGCGTACGAGGGTACCCGAAACATTGCCATAGCCTTGAAGTGCATGGTCTCGCCAAAGAAAGTATCTCATATGGACAAGTCTAATGTGCGCTCTCGCAATATCTCGAAGCCTTCAGCCAACAATTTCCTTTTGAAGACTGAAGCTCAAGTGATGGATATGATGGCTGCTAGTGAAGATCAAGGTGGTCCAAATAAACTATCCGACGAGCAAGCGGAGAAGACTTTGAGGTGGCTGTCTCAATTTGGAATCGAGAACTTTTGCAAGGGTGAAGAACGAATTCATAGGTTCAGTTTAGAAATCGAAACGTGCATCAACAAACTGGTTGGGGATAATTTGATGGAGGGGCCTGTTCTTTGGTCGAGTGAGCTTTACAACAGAGACAAGAGGATTTTGGATAGCGGAAAGCAAAAGGGTGACCTGTCTCTGAGTCATTTTGGATCTCTGAACTTATCTGGAGAAGACGTGACAAGCACAGACAGCACACGTCGTGGCCTACGTAGCACAGATTTCAACCGCCCTGGATTCCATGACCTTCGGGCCATGTCTACCAGAAATAACTCTCAGCAGAGCTTTAGCTCAGGAAGGTTTAGCGGATCGCGATTAAATCCTCCTGGAGATCTGATGGACTCCCAGGATTATTTTGGCATGGCAAGTCCCGTGCTGACAATAGACTCTGCAACAACATTCTGGTCACCCTTTCAAACACGAGCCCATTCACCAACTACGAGCGTCAGTAGTCGTCGCCCAGACACTGCCTCGTCGACCAATGAAACCATTATGCTGAAGGATGATCACATGACTGCAGCTAAACATCGATTTTTGGCGGACTTGAAGCAGACTTTGACAAGCTTGTTACTTAGTGATCTTGGCACTCTCGTTTTTGCTCGTGGAAGTGAGACAGATTCATGGTTTTCAGGTTCCATAGGTCAAGATTGTATTGAAAGAAGAGATCGAGCAGACAGAAGAGCCAGAAGGAAAACCAAAAAGCGTGTGATAGAGAAAAAGAAGAGCTTTGGGGACCTTCGTGGAGCTCAAAAGATAGAGCAACTCCCAATGGAACGGCAGGAATCACTTGGGGAAAAAGCAGAAAAGGGTTCCACATCCAGCAACAAAAGTCTCCCGGATAATGGTGCTTCGGAAAATCGTTCCACCACAGGAAGCTCTTCCACCAGTGATTCTGTCAGCACAAGGCCTAGAAAGGGTACGATGAGAGCTACGAAGGAGTTAGACAATCTGGAGTTTCCCTACAAAATGGCTTTCAATCGTTTATTGCGTATGTTCTCAGTTCATCCTAACCCCTACGCGAAGCTCAACGCGCTGTACGAGCTTGAGCATTTGATCATTGCATATTTAACACCTTCCACCACGAGACGGCCTCGAATCCGCCAGGAGCCCATTCCTATTTCCCCACAATCCCCAGAAGTTTCGCACCACAATGCTTTTGGGCCACCTGATGCAGCAACAACTACCCCAAGAGCGAAAACTCTAGGAGAAGCAATTGACAATTGCAAAGAGCGTCGATCTCATACACTCAATCAAGGAGATAACCCTTCGCCGATCAATCGAAATACTGAACGATACATGGGCTCAAACGCGCCAACTGCCGCGAGTACAGATATGATTGTCGATGTCTTGCAAGACCTGTTCCGCGACCCAGATATGCGACCAAAGACACTGTTCCGTGACTTACAGTTCATTGCTTCATTTGTCCCCGCTGCTACTTTAGATAAGACAGAACGTGGAAAAGCTTTCTGGGATGCTGGTCTTGCCGCGCTCGGTCTGAAACAAGACGTGTGCCGTACACTAATTGAAATTGCAGATGAGATAGTTGTGCATTACACCCAAACTCGCAAGACAACAGCCGCTGTGCTAGACTCGTCTTCCATTAACGGCGAATTGATCAAATATAGTATGCAGGATGCTGCAAATATGTGGACGATTACGGCTAAAGAAGGAGACCCTGTGGCAGAGCGAGAACTTGCCATATTTTATTTGACCCACCCCGAATTGGTAGAAAGAATCACTGCACCATTGAGCAAACCTCGTGAAACCTTTAAAGCACAAGTTATGGAAATGCATCAAGGCAAGGAAGGTGTGGTGACTGAGAGAGACAGAGAGAGGAGTGATCCTGCCACCATGTGTGTCGCTTATCATTGGATGGAACTAAGTGCACTTGGTGGGGATGAACTGGCAAAGAAATACCTACGACAGCGCGAGGAGCTGAACGCTATTCCATGATATATGATTGATGATATAACAGATGTTTTGCTATACGCCCTTCATTTGCAAACGAGAACATGATGTTGTATATACCACTGACGGAGTTTATTTTCAATGTTTTCAGCAAGAGATACCTTTTATTGTTATTTGTGGCAACGGTACTGTGTACTTGCCTGTTTTGGAATTGGACATGTTTTCTTTCTTGTACGTATCATTGTACGCACTCCTGAAATAGGAGGCATAGGGACTTCACAACATTCAAAGAAATGGATAGTGTCACGTATGACATGATAGAATTTTATTTTAAGGAAAACTGCCATAGAAGCTTGTAATTATGAGGGATGTGTCCCTGTGATATTGTACCACTTGATGATATTTCGAATAGATTCTGTCTTTCCAGCGCAATTTCCATTTCCGCCCCTAAATCTGCAATCAGGAACGCATCCTATCAAGCTCTATCCACGCTTCATCTAGATGATTGACAACTAGTCACTGCGTCGGGCGTATGAATTTGATTCGGCAGGTTTGAATGAAAGTAACTTCTATCGTTGTCGCCAGGCAAATCCCTTTCACTGTCTTGAAACCAACGTAAAAGTGATAACAACGCTATATCGGTATGCACGATGATGAGTATTGAAAAATAATATGCCTGAATGGGCCAAATAACGCAAGCAACTGCATATGACAAGCTCGCATGTAGATGACCCGCAGGAACTCCGACCCTGCGAATTCTCGTCAAAACCATGAATAAGCTTCATTTAACAAATTGACTCTTCCTAACGAAAACAGCATTCTTGACTCGTTCTCTCTCCCTCAGGAGTCGATTTCTCTCCTTGTCAAGATAATGAACAGGCCATCCGCCCACCGGCTCGGCCTTCGTCATGAAACTCGTCTTCCACTTGATATTCCAATTAGTGAAACCAAGATCGTAAAATGGGAGGACCAAGTTGAGTTGGGGTATGGAGAGCGGCTTCTTGGTGTTGGAAGGAGTTTGCAAGATGATATCCAAGCGCTTGATATTTGGGAAAAGTTGTAATTTAGCTACGAGTCTCTCAATGTGCTGGAATTCGCGGGTTTGCTGGCAAGCTTGGACGGAAGTATTAGCTTTGGATTGATAGGTGTCGGCAATGGAAGGAAATAGAATGTTGACGAAGATATATTTGGCATGAGCAGCAAATTCTGGACCGAGGCAATCGATGTAATTGAGCAATGTGTCGTAGTCCTTGGGAGACTCTTCTTGTTCAGCAACTTGAGCATTGGTCCCAGTAATTTCTTCCTCTGAACGGAAGTCAACTTCAATTTCAATCCAATTTTTCTCCCAAAATTCGCCACGATCCTTTGTCGGCATCTTACTAACGATTTCAGCTACTTCATAAACATCAGGTTGGAATTCATCAGCGCATGCATGTTTGTACGGGTATCCGTTCTCCGTGTAGCGTTCGGTGATCCGAGCAAAGTTTCTAATGACACCAAGTTGAGTGATTATGATGTCCTTTTTCTTCTTGTCTGCACGGCCAAAACGAGGCTTTACTGGTCTGGGACCAGTGGGCAACACAACGGGAGACGGTGTTGAAAGTGGAGTCTCATTTTTCTTGGTCGGAGTGGCAAAGCTGCTCGATCCAGTCTTGTCTGGCGTGGAGTTGGCGGAGTGAATAGACATTGCATTCATTCCGTCCTGTAACAGTTGAATACCTGCCTTCGGGTCAAGTTCAAGACCGTGTGAAGCATTTGAATCGTTCCGATTGGCTGGAGTCGCTCCATGGTCTAATTCCATTGGCAGCTTAGACATAGTCGTCAAGCCGTCACCCATAGTGTGGATATGGTAGGGACTTCCATTAATTTGTGTACGATCCGCCATCTCTGATCGGTTCTTTAATTCAATCACTGGTGAACCCTCAGACTTGGTATCCACAGGAGCCTTTGGAAACGGTGCGATTTTGGGAGGAAGTGCCGGGACGAACTCGGGAGAGGTTGCAGATAGTGATTTTGCTGCTACTTTATCCAGAGCTTCGAAGTTTGGGGTAATCAAAGTTCCCTGGCGGAATGATTTAAATCCCAAGGGAGTCTTAGGACTAGTGGCGGCTGATACATTTGTTGCGGTATTGCCGTCCGCTGCGACCAAGGAGGGCAAAGTCAAATTTGGTAGGTCAAAGGATCTCTTTGCTCGGGCATTCTTATTTCCCATAATGCTATCGCTTGCTCTCGACTAATGGTAGATAGCGATTCTGGAAGACTGTATTGAATATGATGGGTAGGAAAGAAGGTATGGTCGAGTTGGTGGTGCGTTCTGGAGATATCTATGGTAGAACCTATATTAGTAGATACTCGATAAAAAGGCGCATGTATAATGACAGCGAGTTGTATGTTTGTGCTGAGATGTCTGGTTTGAAAAGCTCTTCCCACGGCACTTTTAGTCCACACGCAAGAGGGGAAAGATCGCTCTATTAGAACAAATAACAGGTCTAATGAGGAATTTTGGACGCTCAAGTGAATCCAAAGTTTTTTTGAGGGGGGGGGGCTATGTGCAATGTTTCTACATACAGTAGATGAGCGATGGTGCTCCAATCAATATGGATGAATTATGACAAAGTTATTCGAAAGTTGAAAAATAGTTATTAAGCTGTCAAAAAGGAAAAGGAAAAGTGTCTGAGGGAGCAAGAATCTGATAACAAGGAAAAGTATCGTACTTGCCATGAGAAAAGTTGCTAGATTTCTTCTGATTCGTGAGTTGTGATTGTACTGGAATCCTATGGAGAGAAAAAACCAGTGGAATATTTAAAGAAATTCTTGGGCTGAATCAATGGATGACATCGTAGTTCATTTTAGCGTTCAGGGTTGGTAATGAAGTGAATGGGAATGTATGAGATGAAAGTGAATGAATATTCTCAGCAACATTAATACTAATACTATTCGCCAGCATACTACCAAGGAACAAGAAAATGATTCTACCAATTCGAGAAGTTCTGATGCATATCGTTGCCCATACAGCTCTGAATGACCCCAGGGCCAAATATTGCTTGAACGCGTATCCAGCAAAGTGTACTGAAATAGAGGCAAGTAAAGCTCATCTCATTTTCAATACTGCTGAATACTCCAATGAATCACTTTAGCTACGCAAATCAAAAAATGGGCTGTATATGTGGTAGAAGGTCAATTCTTGCTACAAGCATAAGGATAGTCGAGATTCACTATTCAACACCCATTAGTTGTACTAACTCGACAGGTATCTATGGCTTGGTTGTAACATGATCGGCTTATTATTGAAACAGGATATTTTATACATATTGATCATGTGCACGTTTTTGCCTGCACTGCCATCTGATTTGTTTCAACGCGTCCATAATCTTGATTAAAAATTGGATATCAAGTCTTTCGGGACTCGAAGAGCCATAATTTCAAAATTGGCTACCCGTGTTGAAGACTTCAACATATGGCAAAGGATGAATCAGTACACCATCAATGCTGACCAATCCGGAATCTGGAGAATCCTACTAATTCCCCAGTATCTGTGGCTAATAGAACTTCATTGTTCATGCGACATAGAAAGCAAAACCAGACAGCCAGTATTGATCAAACAAGAAGTCCTAAAACACAAGAAGCCAGAACACCCCTAGTGATTATCATCACCTGACATTTGAGTTTTCGATGATATTTGATTCTGTTCCGCAAGTCTCTATTGCTGGCTACATCATATCTAGTTGTCACTGTTAATCTACCTCCAAAAAGCTTCCTTAGTCCAGCGACTCCCGGGGTTAGCAGGTGGTGAGAGAAGGAGGGAAGACCAAGCCTCACGACCATCTACATAGAGACGGAATTTTAATGTACTTTGGTCGCTAGCAGTATCTTCAATTGTGATGGCTCCTAACTTTGAATTACCGCCTGGGATATACCTTTGAAAAGTTAGCAAACATATGTATCAGGGATATCGCGATATGCGTTACTTGATCTGTATATCTTCCTCATCAGTTTGCCAATAAGTATGAACCGGCAGATAGAATTGACTGAGAGGACTTGTAGAGAACTCATTCACTGTTGCACTGACTGGCCAACGACCATTCAAGGGAGGCGGAAAGGCTGTTGCGGCAAATTCATGTCTATCTCCACTGATGATGACGACCCCACAGCCTCCACGGAGGCCCACATCCCACATAGCTTCGAGAATCACCTGGCGCTCGTTGAGGTAGCCAGCCCATGTATCCATACTATTCACCCTCTATAGCATGGAGGAATCAGCAATTTCCCGCAAATGAAAAACTCTTAAAGGATGGTCGAACAGATGCTTACCCAGTTTTTCGTGAATGGAATGCTAGATGCTATGATTTTCCATTTGACACCTTTGGGCTCAGGCTTCTTGAGAAAGTCGAGGAGATCAGCAAGCTGTTCTGCACCAAGCATTGACTTTCCAGTGCTGTTGGTGGGGAGCTCTGAAGAAGAGTCTCGGTAAGTCCTGGTATCCATCAAGAAAAACGAAGCAGGCCCTTGGGTGGACTCGAAGTAGGTTGCGCCGTCTCTGAGAGTGTTATAAGTCCCCGCTTGACGAGCTCGAGGAGGATTAACGGCTGTTTGATAATGATGCCACGGATCAGCGGCGGCTTCGTAAATCTGACAAGTCTAGTGGTAAGCATATGATATATGTAAAAAGCCAATGGAAATCCGAATACCGAGCCGCAACTAGTACTTTCATCTAGAGTCTAGCCTAACAGCCAAAGCTTCTCAATTGACTTACCCCAGCAGTCTTTTTATCCCAATCATTGGCAATCTCGTGATCATCGAGCACGTGTATCCAGCCTTAAGAAACTTTCAGTTAGCAAGTCAAGTCTTTGGATATATAGAGCAAAACATGCAGCAAGGAGACATATTTCATAGAAGTAACAATAACCTATCTCTGACTGAGTATGGAAAGACGTTCTATATTACTCACTTAAATTTTGCCCAACGGCCGGCCAATCTGGAGAGCTGTAAACTTGTCTGTACTCGCGGCGATAGTCCTCCACACTCACTCCAAACCTCTTCGGGACATCAATATAAATAAAGTCACCGAGGAACAGCATGAACTGGGAGCCTCCGGGAATCGTCTTAATTACATCTGCCATGTGCTTGAAACCAGGAATTGTCAAAGCGTGGTCAAAGGGGTTGTACGGAAAGCGAGGCTTAATGCAACTGGATGTAAAAAATGTGAAAGAACCTGATTGAGGAAGATGTCCAGGTTTTGGAGGAGTTGTGAAAAATCCGGTGTGGTTATTTGATGTCATCCATTGATAGGTCCTTTCAGGGCGGTTTGGCAGTGGAAATTTTAAAGCTTGTGTGAAATCCGTGGCTTCTGACAGAGTACGGATTGTTCCAGCGAGTTGTGGTTGGTCTTCGTAAGCACCTGCCGGATTTGCTGGTTTGTAGGTGATGGATATGGGAAGTTTAGAGAGATCCGGTTCTCGAACGAGTAGATTTGCTTCCGTAGGGGCACTTACACACAGTCAGTAAAGACATTCATCGAGGGCGCGGTTCTCGATCTAGTCATGGCACGTCAATGAAGAAATCTTGACATCTTGAGACTGTTTAGCATGATGAGAACAGAAGTCCCGCGTAATGACCACAGTTTTAGTGGGTTGCCATGACTAAATGGAGTCGCGTGTAGGGGCAAAGTGGTGCACATACATGTAGCCCATTCGTGCGAATGAAAGCTCCGTGCTAGGATGCAAAACTTTCGCATGATACACCAGATCTATTGTGGCCAGAACCAAGCCCACGTTCATCAAGAAGGTCAAAATCGAGAGCAAAGTTGATACTGGATCAGGAGCGCCTGTCAAAAGTGTATGGAATGGTCTAGGTGATTTCTTCTCCATCACCACTGTCTCGTCTATTTCAACTTCTTCCTCCACGTGCTTTGGTTTGTCCGAGCCCGATATATTTTGAGAATCTGCCGCAGGTATGAACGGCTGGTCTTCGTGCTCAGTCTCTAGAACGGTGATATTGATATCATCTTCTACTACAGTATATGGAGTCTGTGTTACGTGACTATAAACGAAGGAGGGCACATATAGTGCAAAAAGGGTGTATATGAGGGGCGGCCATGGCTGGGAACAAGTGTAAGTGGTTGAAATTTTGAATTCGAAAATATGTACTTACATGGCCAGGGATGATTCTGAGAAAGACATAAGTCACAACCCGCAAAGCGACTGAGCTCCAAGTAGCCACCTTTTGTTGAACCGTTGACATGATGGGTACAAGAGAGACTTGAAGCAATCTCGATAACAACTCAGACCAAGAATACAGACGGAATGTGGATGAGAGAGATAACAAGAAAGTAGTCCAACTACAAGGCAAGATAGAGTGGATAAAATGGTGCGATAAATTTGGTATCAAAACATGCTCTATAAAAGCCTAGAAAGGGATAAGTAAAGAGACAAGAAACGATATAAGAAGTAGCAGCTTTGAGGTAGAATCAGCAAGATGAGCACCTAAACAGGCAAGCAGGTAGGCAGGAATGGAAAGATGGCAATGCAAGATATCGAAACACCTCCTCTTTTCACAATTGCGAATGGGTAGGTAGGTAGTCAACCTTACCTAGGCGGGATTTGAGCTATACTACCTTGGTAGGCAGATGAATACCATCGAACTCTTGAGTGAATCAATATATGGATGATTCTTGGGATGATAATGAAGATATAAAGGTACCTGGCGTAGCACAAATCACTTATGGATAGGTAAATAGTCGAGGAATCTGATTACTAGGTACCTATGTAGGTAGGTGTTGATTCGGAGGCAATCAGAAATTCGGTTTACCTCAAGCTTGGTGTTGTGGGTTCATGACATTATGTAAGCTGAGTGGTACACCTGGTGACCAGTGCACCTTGTTATCTACACTTACGTCATCGAGACAGAAAACAAACCAATTACCGGCACTGATTTACAGTTGCGAGGTACACCTGGGCAGGACTTGGTAGGTAGGTGGCCTCGGTGGCTCGAGCAGGTGGCTAGGTAGTAGCTAATAGATATCTGGTGTGGCTGAACAGATAAAGTCGACCCCAGTACTCGACTCGAGAAGGAAGAGTATGTACTCGTATAATAAAGACAATAAGATGCATTGATTATTAGGTAGGTACCTGTACACACGAAGTCCATGCCTTATACCTACTAGCTCGAGCCTTCTTACTTCCTCACTGTCTGTCTGACAAACCACAAAGATTGGCCGAGGTTGGGTACAAAGGATGCAGATCACCATCATAACCCAGGTTGCTCACTAGCTAGTTCTAACACATGCACTCTTCTGCCGTTAGAAATGTCTGTGATGGATTCTCAAGGAAGCGACTAATACTAGGTAGATATACAAGGTTGACTGTTAACATCGCCTTGGCACAATTGCTTCTCTGAATGTCTAGACACACATCTACTAGCACAATCTACCATTCTCACAATAAAATTCGCCTATACTGTCTCAATTGACGTTTCTCATCTAGAGCCACTTTTATTTTCGCCTCTCACTCTCACCCTCCCTTCCCCTTGCTTGATAATCTTTTCGTCATTTTATTACTCACTCTATTACATTGTAATGCGGGGAAGCGAGAGGCCAGATTGAAGTATTTAGTCGAAACCGTCGAGGCCTATCAGCTTATGAGGAGTGTTAGTCCAACAGTAAACCCATGTGAGAGTTCGTCACCATAAACCAATCAGTCTTGGATGTTCGCCAGGCCTCGACTCCCGTTCTCCCAAATCATAAGGGGCGGAGGGAAGTCACAAGTATTTGTTAATTCGCTATTTATACCACCATTTGATCGCAGACTATTTGCATTGAAGCTACACACTATCCGATTTCACTCATCATACACAAAGAATCTTTTCAATATGGCTACTTCAAACACCATTCACCTGACTTCTGACGATACGGGCGTGTTTGAGTTCGGGTCTCAAGATTCGGAAACTGCCAAAAAAACCTCGCAGCTACTACAAGAGAACCATGATGTAAGATGCCTCGTTTTGTCTCGAGAATACGTCCTGACAACTGCTTATTATAGAAACATCATATTTTCTTCAATAATATAGGATTTCACAACCATATTGTCCATCACTTGTTGACTCTATATGGCCTTGGTGCTCCGGCTTCCGTCATTGAGCGACAGTACAAACTTAATGCATCATATCAACGCCCTGTTGTTCTTTCTAAGAATCAAGTAAGTAAGTTCGCATTCCGCCAAATCTACTGGTTTTTAAAACCAGACTTACCATAAATCATGGTTTCTATCATCTCAATTCCCAACATTCCATAGCACAATTTCTGAAGATTCTAGGCCCCGGTCGACATGTCCATACCAGATAATTTCCACAACAATCTCGGCAAAGCAAAGTACTATCATGACTTTCTGGTATTCTGGCAGCGAGAAATTGAATCCAAAGGATGGAAAGAAGTATTGAAAGAAAGTGTCTTTGCAGGCGATTCGAAGGCAGACGACATGCTCGGCAGGATGTTTGCAGGTATGCGGCATTGTAGTCGCATGGATCTAAGAAATTGCTAACACTCACCAGGGTTTCTTCATCCTCTTATTCATCTAGGTTTTGGTATTGAATTCAACCAACCAGCTATCATTGCCGAAGCGCTAGCACAAGCTTCCGTCCACGATCTGTGGATTACTAAGTATTTGTTGGACATCGAAAAGAAAGCGCAACCTGGGAATAAGACGATTCCACAACTTCTGGATGAGATTAGAGACGATAAAAAGCTTTCCACTGCTGCTGAGTGGGATGATGGCAATATGATTCGAGATGGCATCTTAGCCAGAGCTGCAGATGAAATGATGAGCTATGCATCTCAGTGGACAGTGGAAAAAGGTGAGCTTGAAGCCAAGACAGCTCAAATGATCAGCTCCGCCGTTTACTTCGCTGCTGCTGCTCAGCGCCCGCCAAAACAAGTTAGTCGTGCTACGCTTCTCAGATGTGCCCTAGCTGACATTCATCCCATTAGGTGAAGTTGACTTTTTACTATATGCATTGTGTCAATAGTTCGATTTTTTTCACTTCCTTCAACAAGCAAGACTTTTTGTCCGAAGCCCAGAAAGCAAGGCTTTTGGAGTGGAAGGGACGCTTTGATCTCACCATGTATGCATCTCGCCGTTCCCCCGAGCTACTCCTTGAAGAAATATCGGGATATGTCCCGAAGCTTCTTGAAGCTGGAGATGCGGAATGGAGCGGTCTGTTTCAAAGGCTGTTCGAGTTCGAAGACGATGGCCACGCCGTGAAGCTTGGAAGGGCAGTGGCTCATGCCGAGGTAGTTAGCCAGAGTTATGAAGACCAAGATTGGGCAAAGATTAAGAGTTTCATGTGGCTAAAGATAGGCAACATGGTAGCTGACAGTGTTGAAGACACTGGAGATACTGTACGTACCCTACGAAGTCGTCCACTCCATACACATACAACTTTATTTATGTGCTAACCTTTCGTATAGTGGGCTAGAAGTGTTGGTTTTGATGAAGCGTGGAAGGATTATGTGGACAGACCAAGACAGGTACATTTGTAGGTGATCAAGTTGTGCCACATTTTTTCTTTATTATACTATGATTCTTGGGTTTTCAATGTAGTAGTTGTTAATGAAGCAATTTCTTCTGGGAGAATCTGGCATTGCTTGAACAAATATGCAACCCTAATCTTGTGTTATGATATCGTTATGGTGATCATTTGATCTCTATGTTATGCATGTCAAATTCTGTGCTTCACACTTAGAATTTGACCTCTAGTACAATCAATGAAGGTCACCCTATTGTAAAAAGCTCTTTTCTCTGATCCCACATGCAATTACTATCCACAGTATCTTGCACATGTAAGGGCTTTTTGTGAGAGCTTTACCGTTTTGGTACCATCAAAGATTAAGGATTTTGTGTGAACTCCAGCTGTATGCATCCTATGTATCATTTAATACTCCACGCAATATATGACGTTTGACTGCAGATGACATGACAGTTTCAAACAAGACACACGTGTAGTCATGTCAACATAGTACTTCTAAACAGACTGGCTGCCGACATCGCCCTTTTAGTCTCATCTGATAGTTACCAAATATTCATCCGATGATGTAAAGCCCTTTCACAGTTTCGGACTCTATCCGATAACGGGCTAAAGGGTAAAGCCTTATTGATGCAAAATTGTCTAGAACCTTTCTTCACCTTTGCAATCATTGAAGGGGTGAAGGGATGAGTGGTCACGACATCACTTACTTTATCATGGTTGCCACCTTTGTAGCTGCCCGGGTGCTCAACTTTGCTTCACTTTATAAAAAAATAATTTTGTACTTGCCTTGATTTCTCCTCCCATGTATTATACAAGATTGCCTTGCACCTTCATGATTTGAGATCTCTTTCTATTCCTCAATTTAATTCTTTGCTTTGCACGCCTCTTTGCTTCGTAAATGCAGATGAGATGACGCAAACTACCATGTCCACTTCAAGCTCTGGCTCAGAGACTCATTGGTTCGAAAATGTAGTTGTGCTTGATCTGGATCTCGAGGGACAAGAGGTCAAAAAACAACCTGTTGTAAATGCTCCATCCACTCCATCCACTCCAGCTCGCACCACCCGTTCTCAATCTCTTACCCGCCTAGGCATCCAGCAGAAGTTCACGCACCCAAAGTCGCATTTGCAGACCACAGAAGCTGATGTTGTCGATTTTGATGGTTCTGATGATCCTGTAAGTGCTTCATTCCATGCTCGTGAAATAATGAACTTGGCAATGCTGATAGAAATAATTAGTATCAACCTCTGAATTGGCCATTCAGAAAGAAGCTGATCACTACATTTGTCTATGGCTTGTTCACTATGACTTCGACCTGGGCAAGTTCTGTATACAGTCCTGCTATTAACCAAGTTGCAGCTGAATTTAACGTTGCACCTGAGGTTTGTTACCCCTGGAACTATGAGAAGCTAAAGTGAATGCCATTAACAAAGAGTAGGTCAGTCTGCTGGGTGTAAGCTTCTTACTGCTGGGATTTGGATTTGGTGAGATATTCCTTCACTAGCATAAAGTGAATAATCAAGCTAACTGATCTTTGTGATGCAGGTCCTCTGCTATGGGCTCCTCTTTCTGAAATGTAAGTTATCGGAAAGTCAACTTCGGAGTCATGTGTGCTGTGCTGTACTGCTGCGATACCAACCAGGTCAATTCACCCATTTGTTTGTTACCAATACTAACAGCCGATTAGTTATGGCAGAAAGGCTGCAGTCTTAACCCCAGGTAAGTAATTCTGTTTTGCAAGTAGCCAAAAGCTTAGCCTGCACTCTTGTCCCTTCACCATACAGAACCACAACTAATGTGTCAAATAGTTTTCATCTCAGCATGCTTTTCATTTGGTTCTGCCACAGCAAAAGACATCCAGACGCTGCTCTTGACACGATTCTTTGCTGGTATCTTCGGAGCTGCTCCTGTAAGAAACCTCACCTCGAACTCAACAAACTCCTCTGACATCTTAATTAGGTAACAAATACTGGCGGCGTCCTGTCTGATATCTGGGCACCCCAATCACGCGGAACAGCTATAGTCGGATATGCATTTGCTGTTGTTGGTGGTGAGTACGTGCATCCTTTCCATATTTCCAATTCTCACCAATTCAAGGTCCAACCATGGGTCCCATTGTGGGAGGAGCCATTACATCAAGCTATCTAGGATGGAGATGGACAGAATACGTAAGTCCCCAGCCCCCTAAATTATGTACTTCTTGCCTCTAACTCCTTGAAAGATTACCGGAATCATGCAAATGGCAGTCTTACTCCTTGGTGCTCTTGTCCTTAACGAAACCTATCCAGACGCACTCCTGGTCGCCAAGGCTCGCCGTCTCCGTCACGATACTGGAAATTGGGCTTTACATGCCAGACACGAAGAGCGCAGTTTCAGCATTAAAGAGATGGTAAACAAGTTCTTGATGCGACCATTTCGCTTACTAGGGACCCCGATTTGTTTTCTTATGGTTTTGTATGCTTCATTTGTTTATGGCATTCTCTATTTGTAAGTCAGAACCGAGTATTGTTTTTGGACATCCGTTAATGGATTGCTAGGTGCCTGGCTGCGATTCCCGTACAATTTGCATTGGCTAGAGGTTATGGACCTGTAACTTCAGAGTAAGTTTGCCTCCGACTTGACGATAAACATATGGCAGATGTTATTCTAATCTCTTTCCTCACAACAGACTTCCATTTCTTGCACTTCTCCTAGGTACAATCTTCGGTGGCACTGCAAACATTCTGTAAGTTGTTGATCTATCTTCAAACCATATCTACTAACCAACGAACCCCAGCAACAACAAGTTCTATACCCGCAAGTTTAAAGCAAATGATAACCGACCCGTCCCCGAAGCTCGCCTGCCTCCAATGATGATCGGAAGTGTATTCTTCGCAGCAGGCCTCTTCGTCTTCGGCTGGACGTCCGCCCCAAGCATCCATTGGGTAGCTCCATGCATCGGCCTCATATTCATGGGATTTGGCTTCTTTACCATTTTCCAATCTGCGCTCAACTATCTCATCGACACTTTCTCCTCGTGTGCAGCAAGTGCGGTTGCGGCCCAAACATTTGTACGAGCCATCTTTGCTGCCTTGTTTCCCCTGTTTGTTACTCCCATGTTTCAGGGTTTGGGTATTGAATGGGGAAGTAGTGTGTTAGGTTTTGTAGCAACTGTGCTTATACCCATCCCGTTCTTGTTTTATGTCTATGGTAAGAGAATTAGAATGAAGGGTAAATTCACCACCAAGTAGCTAGTGTGAATGCATTCACTATACTACGATGACGGAGAATAATTGCTCGGAAATCGTCACTACCTGATTGATTATAGTTGAGAATTCGGTGTCCTATGGATACTTGATTCATTTTAGATAGGTTCCTAGACAGCTTGACCGATTATGGTTGATAGTCTAGCGCTCTATAGATACTTGTCTCATCAATATGGAGAAAGCTTGATTGCACATCAGCAACGTAAGCATAGAATCTCCGGGATATAAGAATGTAACTCATAAAGTCATCCAAGCTCGTTCCTGAATATGTACTTGTGCAGAATGCTCCTCGCATGTGCTCTCTACTAAACACAACAAGTCAGCCGGGTGTCGCGAACATGTATGACAAAAGACTCAAACCATCACATAATACTGAAGCGTCAGAGCCAAAGCCAACGCTCGTGAGGAGTGAAATTAGTCATTGATCCCAAGGTCATAACTATACAGACATATCAACATAACCACTTTAAGCCCATCCAAGCTTGCCCATAACTCCAATCCCATGCGTAAGCTGTTCGCAGCATATTATACATATCTAAACCGCTCCATTTAAAGTTCCAATCCACAATTTCCACCCTCCAAATATCTCCTTAATCCCCATCACTCGGCCTTCTCATATAACTATCAATCGCCAAACTAAAAGCCGCGAACCCCGCACACCCGACTGCGGCAGCTTGTGGTCCCGCCGGGGCCGCCAGCACTCCTCCGGTAATACATCCTGCAATAACCCCATTCTTCAGATCATTCTTTGCTCTGAAACCTTCAACACAACACTCTGTGCCTGCAAAGATAGCGCCTACTTTGCCGAAATTCTTGGCCGAAGAATAGGAGCGATTACCCATGTCTTTGAGACCTCGTTTGAGTTGTTCGCGCAAGGGAAGCGATGTGATTTCTGCAGCTGTGGAGGATGTGTGAATGGGAGTGTCATATTGCATCTGTGTGGGAAGGTTAGTCATTGACGTAGGAAGAAAGGTAGACAAGGCGGGGCAAAACATACAGATGCCATGAAGAGACCAAAGGCACCACCGAGGGCAAATCCCATTACACCCGAGACGACAGTCTTACCCGGACAGGACTCCATGATTATTTGCATCTATCAGACATTATCAGTATTCATTCAATTCACTTTGACAGTTTCCCATGGCAAGGCTCTGCTTGTTCCATGCAGCAATGCTAAATATAACCGGAGAGCAAACATACATTTTTAACAGCAGCAGCGGTCGAAGGGTCAACACCCTGCTGGCCCCCTCCTGGAGGATTAAATGCTGGTCCATTCATTTTGAACGATAGTAGTTGCGATATTCTTCGTCAAGGGAAAAGGCAGAATACAAAGATGGGTTTCCTTGAGATGTAATCCACCGAGAATTTTTTTTGGCGAGGCTGACGGTTGGCCTTGCACAGTCTGAAGCCTTGCGTTCTGCACAAGTACCCGAGTCTTGCCAAGTAGACTGTATGATTTCGTCTCGCGAAAAGGGGGATGTCTAGAGATATTCATTACATCATTTTGGTTATTTTTAGGATTAATTAGGACCATGGGCTAAGCTAGCTTTTAGTTGTCGGTATAATTTGCTAGGCTCTTTAGACACAAGGGCGACCCTAGGTACCTAGAGATTTCACATCAGAACAAGTATAATCCTTTACTTCATTACTGCTTTCCATAAGCTATCTATCGATACGGGCTTTGAGTATTCATATAAAATCTCATCTTAACCTCAACATGAAGACAGCATTATCGCTCCTGTAAACGCGATTTTCCTGGTTTAATCCCGTCTATTCCTATCCCAATTGCGATTTCCCGTCAAACAACTTTTCCAATACCAATATGCTCTCAAAGCAATTGTATCACATCCGTTCCCATGAACATCACGCTTTCATCTTCACCCAAGATTGGAATTCGAAGATTGTGAAGCTTGGTATACAGTGAAGTTATTGAATTGCCAGTAAGCATCAGCGAATGCCGTTGCGTTGTTAGCGACGTAGTCAGTGCAGGTACCGGGACCTATTGTATGATTAGTATGGAAATATCAAAAGATGCCAGAGGAGAGCGTACAATCAACATCATATACACTTGGGGCACCTGCCCAATTTCCGCACAAATCTATGTTGACAATGATACTTTGATTCTTGAAGTGATTGCCAATGTTGCAATCCGTGCTGGGGAAATCGGCAGCAGCTTCCGACCAAGTCGATGGATCTGGGCTACCAGATGAAATATCGTTTGGAATAGCATCTCGTCCGAATTGCCACATTCTGATACCCGCAGTACGTAGTTCCATCGCCATAACTCCACCTCCATTTGAATTGAAATCCGCACCGAAGGTTCCTGCAGAGTCATGCACACCACATCCAGCGTTGAAATTCGTGCTATTCAAGCATGAAGATTGAATGGGTTTTCCAGTCTCTTTGCGCTTGACGTCCATGGAGCACCCTGACGTAGTATGGAGGGTCATTTGATTTTTTTTAGAGCTCACAACGTTGACCGCCTCCATGATATCGATCTCTCCATTTGTTGGCCAATTGTTTGAATCAGTTAGCCACAGTGCAGGCCATGTAGCACAGCCAATGGGTGTGTGGACAATATCGAAGATGAATAGACCGTCAGTGTATTGTGTCTTGGACTCAATTCGAACAGAGAAGCGGCCAGTAGATGCATTTGGGTTACTGTCAGCTGTAACAGATGTGTCGACTCTGATAACTGCAGAACTTGACGAAGCATATGTCAAATTGTATTGAGCGGCAACTTCGGAATCAACATAATGAACGAAACCGACTGTTGGGTCGTCGGTATTGAAGTAATCGAAGTTATCGAAAAAGGTAGTCCCTGAGTCTTTGGTGGATGTTAGCAAGATGCACTATGCCAGGGCCATCTCGTTCAATCTCCAGTCACACAATCATAGGGATAGGTCTAGAACAACCACCGCTAACTCCACTTGGAGGTGATGAAGCCTTACTTCTCGGGTATCAAAAGTGTTGGTGGATCTGAAGTTGTTGGGTGTGCAACATCACACAAAAGAAGACAACTTACAAGTATCCTTCAGTGTATAGTTCAATTGTGAGTAATTTGGATAAGCATTCTTTTTTGAACCTTCCACAGCAGCCACCACGATGATAATGATTACTACAATGATTCCTGCACCAAAAATTGCCCACTTCTTCTTACTCCACGCTCTCATATCCCACCATCTTGGTGCCAAGGAACTTGGATCATCAACCTCATCTTTGGGTGGTGAGCCTGACGGGACATTCGTATTTCTCATCTTCCCAACTGTAGCGACTGATATTGACTTTCTATCCAACGATCGTTTATCTTCCTTTGATTCCGGAAGTGATCCTTCGACGTCCAGTCTGAATGTTTTGTTTCCAAGAGGAGGAAATCAAAAACTACTTTTTATGTCGGATATGCTTGACTAGCTTGAGTGGTTTCTAAAAATGCAAAATCAAAAAGCCGTAATAAGTTTATGATGAGCGACACACTTGTATATGTACCTTGTCTGAACAGCCTACTTTGTCTTATCTAACCAACTCCAAAAAGGCCGGATAATTATGGAGATTAGAGCTGTGAAAGATACTCGTAGGCTGAGCCGGTGAGAAAATTAGGTCTCCCCGCTTTGGGACCTGTAACCTGTACCAACTTGGCAGGATGTTTTGGTCGCAATCAGGTAGGTACCTAGAAGGGATACGATGGCGAGGGTGGTTGGGAAAAGAAGGTTTGATGGATATGCAGGCCGACGTGTAGTGAGTGAAGCATGGGGCGACGCGGACAAAGCGAACGTAGCGAACATCCGAACTTAAGCTTGTAGAGTAGCTAGCAAGCTTAGAGAAGGAGTAATCCGATGGAAGTAAGGAACGTCAAGTTGATCAGATTCGAACAGGAAAGAAGCATATCACCTAGCTTTTGAATTAAGCTAAACTAGCGGATGGACTGTATTGTAAGATAAAGATCGATCACAGCTACACAACTCAACATGAGAGTTATTGATCTCCAATGCCAAAACTGTTGTTGTCTCGACCGTCCCAAAATAACAAACCTTTCTAACATGTGCCGCCAACAAACAACTCGGTACTTTCCAATGTCTGTCAACCCACTCCTTCCCTCGTCAGGACTCACTCAGTACAGGGCTCTCCCCTCCAACGACGAATTATCTGTTCATACTACTCGAGAACTGTGGGGGGTTCATGAACTTCAATCAAGAATCATGATGTTGCCATGTTGGAAGACGAAGATCATCAAGTCCGTTCGGCCAATATAAATGTTGATAGAGAACATAAGTCGGGATAAATATTGAGTATTGTTTCAATGTAAGACGAAATGCGAACTCAGACTTCAATTGGGTTTAAAGTCGGAGATATAATACGAATACTTTGTTTTCCTTAATAATTCAGATACGCAAAGATCTAATCATGTTTTTCTCTTCTTCAGTTGAATGGAGTAGGTCCAGTTTTGGTGGTTCTAGCTCTAGCTCCATCCAGACCCTATTTTTAGTGAGTTGTGAAAAGTCTTGGCAGGTAAGAGTTCTGGAACCTACTCACCGCACATATAACACTTTTCCGGCTAAAATATACAATTATTCAGCTTTTTATACCCTGATTTATTTAAAAATATATAAAATTAAATTGAATATAGTAATACAAAAAGATTCAGAATTACTTAAATTATCTAAAAAAAATATGTCATTTATTTTTAAATATTTTCATAATAATATTTTTGAAGAATTAAAATTGAAAATTCGAAAAAATTCAAAAAATTCACTTATTTTGTATAAGAAAAACATTACAAATTAAAATTCTGAATTTTTTTAATTAAAAGCTTATATAACTTTCAATTAAAATATTTAAAAATAAATTAGAAATTTTTTATATATAAAAAATGATTCATATTATTTATTGAAAAGTTTTGTAATTCAATATTAATAATTATATTAATTATATAATATTTTAATTTATATAAATTAATATGAAATTTGCAGGGATTATATCACAAACATTACGGTGTGCGATGAGTATGTTCGATAACTCTTACGAGTCTGATAGAGTGAGCAGGGAAGGGCAAGGAAGGGCAGGGCAAAGAAGGAGAAAAGAAAGAATTACTATTAGTTGAATCATCTGGTTGGGAAATGTCTGTATATATGTATAGCAAAACCTCTCTATAAAGATTCTCTTTATATGGATAATCTCTTTATAAGAATATTCTTATATTTCTTAGTTCTAGGATTATATGTATTTTATTAGATTAGTAAGATTATCAGAATTTGAATTATTATACGATATAAAGAATTTAGTTATATTTTGTAAAAATAGAAAAAATCGAAATTATTATAGAATATGATCTGATTGGAACCAATCGGAAGGAAATTATTATTATATTAAGATTCAGTAGAATCTCTATATAAAGATATCTCTATATATCCTCAAAAAAGACTACAAAAACCGGTATCCTTATAGAGAGGTTTTGCTGTATGCATTACTTCAAGACTCAAGAGAGATACCCTGCTTGCTATCGAACTACCGGCTGTCATACGGAGGTTGATGGGATATAAGTCGTATAAGCCCAATTTTTAATAAAAGTTACTGTTTTACGAAATTCCAATGCTGCTTTTACTAATTTTATTAGATATTCAGTTATTCCCCCTAGATTTCGAATTTGAATCCCTTTTATTCGAATTTTTAACTCTTATAATTTTGAAGCTTTTAAAGTATTCAATAAATTCTAAATAAAGAAAGAATAATATTTCTAAAAAGAAAAGTATGAATTTTAATAAATTTGAATGATTTTGCAAGAATTAGAATAAATTTACAATACTTTCATTACCTAAAGTTCACCATATAAATTTTCAATCAGCATAATGATATGATTGGTCCCAAATGATAAAAATAGGGAAAAGCTCGGTTGCTTTTTTGGTGTGTTTTACAATACTTACACCGTCAACCTCCGTAGTGACATTCCGAGGCCAACGACTAACTATCCACTATTTTTGGGGAATAGAAAAAGCGTTTTAACGATTCATATAACACGCGTATAATGTTACCCAGTAATTGAGTCTACGGGGAAATGTAAATTAGAGATACGTAAGTCGGTACAGTACAATAGAGAAAGACGTATGGGTACAACAAAGCTTTAATGCAAGGATCTCGGATTCTGTATGATAAATGTCCTCCATCGAAGTGTAGGTGAAATGAAAGCTTGGGTGTAGTTGGGAGATTTGGGGTATATGAGCAAGAATTCATTATATACGAATATGGTCCGCTTGAAGTTGGGCTAACACATCTGACTACTCGAAGTTGGATGATGCTTCTGAGAGATCTTGCATGCTGTAGTATGACAGACCAATGTGCTTGGAAATCTTATTATTGAGAAAGTAGATTCATCAACAAACTCTCTACCAAAGGTGCAAAATAAAACACAAAAGACAATCTAGAATCAATTAAACACGGACATCCATTTGTCAATGTACGAATATCAAGGCCATGCTTTATACACGGATTGCCCCAATCGTATAGATTATCTATAAATACAATGCTGTCCATGCATTCCCATGATTGTCCATCCATTTAATCATCGTCCTCATCCACTCTTGCCCGTTTGTTGGACCTTCCCTCGCCTTCCTGTAACCCATACTCTCTTTTATTAGAACTTTCACCGACCTTGCTCAGAAAATCGTCGACATTGAAAACATCGCCAGCATCCTTTTCAAACTGCACCGGTCCCTCCCTCGCCTGTTCACCCCTCAAATTAGCTGCATCCCCACTCGTGACCAAGGGGAAATTTCTTACCTCAACATCTGCTGCACCTTGAAAGGTTCCCTTTCCAAGGGCATCCGCAAACCTGTTACTTTTCTGAATCTTCGCCATCTCACCCTCAGCTGCTGCTTCATCATCATCGTCATCCATATTTTGCCGTGGTCGATAAATGCTACTAATAGCATCTTGGGCCGCAAAAAGAGGTTTATCATAGGCTTGATCCTCGTTGAATCCACTATCAAACCCACTTGTCCGGTTGAACAATCTGGAATCAAACATAGTTTCGGTTGATTGCGTAGGTTTTGCTAAGCCTAAAGCGACCTTTTCTGAGATATCTCGATTCTGCTCTCGCGCCATCATTTGAATCCTCCTCTCTGTGCCCATGCGCGACTGTCGTAATTTTCGTTCTTCATCCCTTCGTTTCTCTTGGCGCATCTTTTCTCGCTCTCTGAATTCTTCATCGTCGCTGTTGGATCGATCAGACTCGGATTCACTATAGCTTCCAGAACGTGATCTTGACGATCTCGAGTCTCGCCTTCGGGAGCCAGCGCCGGCTCCAGCCCTCTCTTCTCGTGCCTTCTGTGCTAACATACGAAGATGATCTTCTTTTTGTGCCTTCTCTTTCTCTGCTAGCCTTTGTTGCATTAATGCTCTCTGCTTGACTTCTTCTCGTGCGTGCCTATCTGCCGTGAAGAGAGCTTCTGCAAACTGTGCGAATTTATCATTAATAGTAACGTCCTGTAATCCTCGTCCATCTGCAGCCAATCTTTTGTCAAGTGGAACCGTGTAACCCTTAGGATTCTTCCAGTTCGATACAGGAGGTGGAATTTTCCAAGCTTCTTGATCCTCTGCAGTCAATTTTCGTGGAGGCGAATGCATGACCGGAGCCGGAGGGCTTGGAGGACCACGGGGAATCTTCTTATGCTTGAATTTGGGAGGCTCCATAGGGTCCTGCTGTCTTTCCACAATCTTCATGATTCGATCATTTTTCCTCGAGTTATCCCCCATCTGATTCGCCGGGGTATATCTGACATAAGTAGGGTCCTTTCTTGCTCCGACATTTACGTTCTTAGGTTTTTGTGCAGCTACCGCACCGCTGACCAGAGTTGCCAAGGCATTCTTCGTTCGCTCGGTAGAAGCCGCAACCTCTTCTTCACTTGGTCTATCTAAATTAATGTCGCCGGCATCAGCTCGCTGTCGAAGAGGTATAAGGTCCTTGAAAGAGGCGTGTACTATTCGTTTATCATTATGGCCTTGCCGTGCTATAGCGTCGTACTTGACTTTCCCCTCGCCGTCGACTTGAAGGGCCAGCGCATTATTCGATGAAGTAGATTTGCATCCCATGTCTAAAGGATACTGTGCGACTGGAATTTCTGGGAAAGCACCTCCATCTCCAAAGTCTTCTTGTCCTCGTGGCCGCCATCCTGTTCGATTACCATATGGTGGAGGTCCGGTTTTCTGTGAATGTGATGTATTGTTAGAAGAAACCTCTAGTTGCTCAAGATTTAAAAGACCAACCTTTAACACAATTTGGGTATCATCCAAAGCGCCTGCGCCTAGGATTCGAGGGCCTCTCTGTTGCGCATGTTGTGGAATATCCTCTTCGTCACCTGTATATTTTGGTTTTGGCAATGCCCGTGATAAAGAAGCTGCCATTGATGCGAGAATATGTAGACAGGCAGGATCTGATCGTGTTGAGGTGGTTTGGAAGATACAAAAACACGAGATTGAATTGGTTTTATAAGCTTGTGCCTATCGTGAATCGATAAATGTCAAATTGTCGCGATTCTCATCCATGCTACGTCACGCTAACCTAATTGACACTAGTTTATACATGTGTGTGAGATAGAGGTTATACAATCCTATATATATAAAATGCCTAAAAAGTAGCTAATGAATAGTAAAATGATAAATGATACATGATTGACTTGCATATCTAGCTAAATTGGTACGATAGCTTACCTATTTAGTATTGTCGAGTACTGTCGAAATGTTCAAAAGTCTTGTGTGTTTAGACAAGGCATTGGAGACTATGAATTAATTCACACATACTTCTAATAGACATTGGGATGGAGTAATACAATCAATTAACTTGACTTTAATCATATTGAGCGTCAATTTTGTTAAGTGTTTTTAGTACACAGAACCCCTCTTCGGACCCAGAATCATTTCAACCATCTTCAAAGCCATCCCAGACCCAATTCGTTCAAACATAACCCTTTCTGGCACCCTAATCCCTATCGTTAGAATCTCTCTGTGTATATTGAAGTTAGGAATGCGTACCTGGAAGAAGAATCGAACAATAAAGACTTGTAGCGCAGCCATGCACATCATCATCAAGCTTTCAATAACACTAAAGTTGAAAATCCTCCTCTCAGTACTTCTCACTGTGCTAAAGTTGCGGTTTTCTCTTGTGCGGAAGTATTTTTGGTTTCTTGTAATGGTAGAGAGCTGGCCTGAGAGCTTAAAGATAGATTCTTCCAATGCCGACGTTTGTTCGGGAGTTGTGCCTTGTTTCGAAGGTATCGAAGCTCGAGGTTCGTTCTCAACCTATAGCAGTAATGGACATGTCAGTGATAGTTTCTGGATTCGCAATTCGCGGAGTGTAAACGTACAGCAATTTCGAAGTCGACAAACTTTTCTGCGAAAGTACTCATTTGATTGTTGAAGCAAAACCTGTATTCTCCGACCTCTGTGGCAGTGAAGACGAAGTCGCCTTGTCGCTCTTTCTCTTCCTTCATGATAACTCTTTCGTTTGGACCTACAACCTCATAATCCACATCAAAAGATCCTCCAGCTTGAACCTATATAATATCAAATGTCAGAGATGTTCATCTAAATATCAGAGGCCAGGCGCATCGTACAGCGAAGTAAAAGGCTATTTTGGCACCTTGTTTGTCGACGTTGGAGTAAAAGCATGCCTTTTCATTGGCGCTAAGCTTGTATGTAAGGGCAGTGGCAGACACAAGAGGAGAAATGCATGCCAAAAGGCTACACCAGATCAAAGATGGCTTCATGATTTAATATTGTGTAGTTGCAAAAGTAATAGACCCTTGACATTGACGCGCTTTTGGAGATATGTTGCTATCTGTCAGTCGGATAATCCTCGGGCGCAGTGAATCTAGCGAGTAACTCCTCCTTTCCTCCAAGCCAGGGGTTAACCGATATCCCTACATCTTGCACAACCCTGTATCTTGCATACTTTTACTTCTTTTTATATCAATATTCTAAATTCAATTTATAATTAACAAATTATTATAATTTTTTAAATTTTATAAAATAAATAAAATAATATATATTCTTTATTATAAGTTAATTAAAATATTAAATATATTAATATATAAATTTAAATCTTAATTTTAAAAATAATTATATAAAACTCTTTATATTGATTTATTTAATATTATAAATAAAAAGAATATCTATTTTTTAAAAAATTATAAATTCTAATATATTTCAATATATATAATTAAGAAAAGTAATCTTTTTTATTAAAAATTCGAAATTATATTAATATATATTTTAAGTATAACTCTCTACAGGGAATAAGATGGAAAGCATAGGGTAGAAAGTGATGGTATTAGAAGGATTAGTGTATTAAGTATATTCTTTTACTTTCGAGAGGAAAAGCTTTATATAGGATAGAGCTCTTATTAGTATTAATTGGGGCTAGCTCCCCCTACTCTATGATTACATGAATCACACCTTTCAATACTCCCTCTTAGGTCAATTGTAATAATCTATCATTCTCAGCATTTTTATGAACTTCTTGAATACATTCTTAGTTAATAATTTTATTAATCCATCTATTATCATTTTATTTATAAAAATATAGTTAATATTGATCTTTCCTTTTTACTTGAGATCCTGTATATAATGATATACAATATCAATATATTTTAATCTGTTAATTAGTTGTATATTCTTGATTAGGGCTATAGCTCTTTAATTATTTCTCTTCATATCAATAGTGGATCTGTTCTTTGTAATAAACTTTCTGTATCCCATATCTCGAAGTATTTGGGCTAATTACTAGCTTTGCTTTGCTGTAATTGATTGAGCTATATATTTTGATTTAGTTGTTGATATTGATATAGAGTTCTGTTTTCAACTTATTCAGAATACTAATCCTTCTCCCAAAAGTGCAATTACTCTTAATATGCTTTTTCTATTAATCATATTACTAGTATAATCTGTATCGGAATAGATTATTAGATTTTGAACTTCCCCTGGTTCGAAATACAGTTTATAACTGATTGTTATTTATAAATAGTGTATTACTCTTTGTAATTAATTTATATAGAACTCTACTAAATCTTTTATATATTAACTAAACTTTTTTAAACCAAAAACTATATCAGATCTTAAGTATACCATTATGTATATCAATTCCTCGATTATATAGTTATATTTAATAGGATCTGCTCGTTTGTTATCCTTTTAAGCCGATCGAAGTACTTTGTAACCATCCATTAATATTGAAATAGATCTAGATATTCTCTTTGTGAATTTATATTTACTTAATATTTTCTCGAAATATTGTTTTTGGTTAATATACAAAGTTCTGTTCTTTTTGTTTCTAATAATTCTTATGTCTAAAAGCTTTGAGTTCTCGATCTCCTCTAGATTCTTGGTATTAAAGATAGAAGTAAGTTATTTGCTGAATTATAATATATTATCTAAATTCCGTATTGTAACGGAAAGATTATCGATATATAGCAATATCATAATCCCTTTGTCAGAATGGGTGAACAAGCATGGATCAATTAGGCTTTGTACAAAATTTCATTTAATAAATCGTTTCTTTATAAGATCATTCCAATCACGAGCTACTTGCTTTAGTCTATATAAACTACAAAGGACTTCAAGAATATATCCTTGTTTGATGTTAACTCCTTATAGTACAAATAGAAAAATCTTTTCTTTTAGCTCTACCTCAATGAATACATTCTTTATATCAAAGTAATATACCTCAAGATCCTGTAATACTACAATGAATAGAAATGAACAAACTATTACTGATTATACCATAGATACAAATATATCGAAGAAGTCCACTTCGTACTTTTATATAAAGCCTCTTACTATTAGTCTAGCCTTAAATTATTCTAATGATTTATTTACATTCAGTTTTGTTATGAATATCCATTTTATACTAACTAAATTGTTTATTCCATTATTATAGATTTGTTGTTATATTTTATTCTTTTCCAATTCCTTGATCTCCTGATCGATAGCTGCTTGCCACTATTCGCTATAGATTGGATTGCTTATTGCCTCTTTATATATTTTCGGGATCGGTATATCCCTTGCTATTATATTTATAATGATTATCTTTAAAATAAATACATAGTTTTTGCTTTGTTGTTTTATGAAAAACTCTTGATTCGGTTTCAAGTTTGTAATAATAATAAGGAATACATATAAACACTTAGTATTTTGAAAATCAGTTTTATTATCTTATTCTCTTAATCTCTTTCTTGTTATTAATCCGATATCCTCTTCGATCTCTATGATCATATCCATTAGATCGACATCCAATGATTATATTATACGCGGAATAACGACTTGTGGAATAGTTTCTGATCTTGATATAAATATTTTAGTAAGATTTGGGACTTTATCCTCTGAATTACGTTCAACTGATTCAATAAATACAGGTTCCGTAGATACTATGCCTGTAGTTTCAATTGTGGTCTTGCAAGGTCTTCCTATTAGTCGTCGTTCCAATAAGATATTTTATACTCCCTATCCTTTTACAAATTCTCCCCCTAAAGTGATAGAGTATAGTTTCAGATTTATTTTATCTCTTAGTGATTCTTTAAAGAATATACAATTACTTGTTTTTATTATTGTGTGTCTATTCGGGGTATATATCTATAATTGCTTTATTATATAATCATTATATTCAATAAATACATCTATTCTTGCCCTATCTACTAACTTGTTTTGATAAGCATCATTAGGGTGAGATACTGGATCAACATGAGAGTAGCACTTCGATTCCTATATCTTGATATATACTATTAATAATACTATTCCGGTTTATACCTTATATAACAACACTTGCTTTTTCTTTGCTTATATAGTCATATCCCACTATTAGCTGATAGATATCTCTTTACATCTTTATTTAACCTCGAATTTATCCACCCATAATTCTATATATATTCTGTTTCTAGTATATATATCTGTCTTTACTATATAATCCCAGAATTCAATTAGCATTTCTGAGTCTTTAAGTATTATACAAATATTCGATTAAATAATTTGAATTGCCTATTCAGCTGTACCATTTTGATTTGAAATATATATGTATATCGATTATTATTGTATGCCCAGCTTGTTTTGCTATTCCTGTAATACCTTTTCGATCTCTAGAGTATTATTGATATATATTATTCCAATCAGGAATCTATTCTCTCATTTTATATCAACTCTTTATTTCTCGAGTTCTTCAATAATATCACTTTTCTTTTCCAGATATATTATCTAAATCTTTTTTGTTTAGCTATAGATTATCTCTACAAAGTATTACTTCTTTCAAAATGATGCTGGAAATGGTCCTGATACATTTAGTGATATGAAAACTAATAATCGTTTTTTATATTTTAAAAGAATTGTATTATAATACTTCTTTATTTTTGTTATTATATATACCTTACAAGATTCTAGATCTACAGATAACTTGATATTCTTCTCCAGAATTATAATAAGATATAGTTTATTCAAAACTTTATATTTTATATATCCAAAGCAACAATACTATAGTCAATACCGATTTAGGCAGTTTTGTTATTAAGTATCTGTTTTATCTGTTTTATTTTTATTATAAATAATATTCTTAACTTCTAATAGAATTTCTTTATCCTCCTCTATAACTAAAAGTATAATATCAAAGTCACTAATAATAATATTAAACAAAAAGACCATTGTTCTCCGTAAGGAGTGGCTGGCTCAATGGTAAAGTGATTGGTGCCCACTTCTGCTCAGAGCCATATCCCGATCGATATCTATCTTTTCGAAGCCTAGTCACCTACGAATCCACAGCTTATCATCTGTATATGATCAAAGAAGGGCGTTGTGCCCTCTTCCTGATCTTCTAGCCCCAATATGGAGGAGCCTCCGCTCCACCGCTATCTCATCTCCCCACTAGAAAAAGTGGTTCCACCCGTACCCGAGCGGTCACAATATATCTCCCTCTCTCGACAATAATGATCGCCTGCTTACAGCAGCCTACAATCGCCTTAGCCTTCAACAGTCCGATCACTCCGGCCTTACCAGCCTATGATCACCCCAGCCCTTACCGGCTGACATCCCCTGCCTTTTCACAAAGGCCCCGAACAACCCCTGGACTCTTCAACATGAAGTGAGTTGGACAGCTCGAACTTGTAAGTTGGAGTGGAGCGGCAAGAGTGCTCGTAGCGTGGCCGCCCTGCTCGCCACTAGCATCACAGCCGTAGAAGAACGGAACGCTTGGCTATACCAGCAATTGTATGTATATAGAATTGTTAGTTTAGTCCATCCCTAGTACCCCCTGGGAGGTCGTGGCGAGCCCCTGTGGCTTGCCCCCCGGATGTAAAATAATAAATAAATAAATAAATAAATAATAACAATATTAACAATTATATAAATTCCATGAAAATTGTTTGCAAATAGTAGGACTTTTCCGTTTCTATAAAAATATATCTTTTTATCATTGAAGGCTCTCTTAGCATTGAATTCCTTGCAAAACGATTTTACAAATAATAAGCTTGCTTCTAATCCTGGAATATATAATACCTTCAATTTATATACTTTTTCATTTTATTTTATCTCTATCATTCCATACTTTCTCACAATCAATTCTCCCCCTTTAACCTTTATCTGTCTTAACCTAGAAAGTGGCTTTAAGCTAGATAAAAGGTAGGATTGATCAGTTATATACGACAAACAGTCAGTATCTACAATCCATTCTCTAGTATTGCTGTAGAAGGATATATATGCAGACTCATTTGAATAATAATAAGGCTCTTCC